ACTCCTGCGCGGTTTCATCCGCTGCTCGACTCGTGTTGATCGTAGACTGATATTTTATAGTCAACTTATAGACCTCCACGATGAATGGATTATGGATTATCCAACACAAAAAGGATTATTAAAGGACTATCTGTTGACCGCGAGTTTGTCCTACGTCCGCGTAGAATATCAATCACAACATAGTAGAGGTATAAAACAAAGTCGCTATCCGCCGTCTGTCTGTCCCTATGTATGCTTAGATCTTTAAAACTACGCAACGGATTTTGATGCGGTTTTTTTTAATAGATGGAGTGATTCTTAAGCAATGTTTATATGTGTAATACATGCATATTGCACCCGTGCGAAGCCGGGGCGGGTCGCTAGTTTTATATATACGTAACTTTCTTTTAATATCAATTTTCCAAAATAAAAGTAGCCTATGTTACTTCTTAGTCCATCAGCTACCTGCCAATAAAAGTATTGCAAAATCGGTTGAGCCATTCCGGAGATTCACCAACTACAAACAGACAGACGTACAAAAATGTTTTTTTGGTATAGGTATCATATGAATATTCATATGCATGTAATAAAAAACGGTTATTCTAATATTACAAATAGACATTCCAATTTTATTTATCTGTGTAGATTTATTGGGTTAGAATTCGCGGTTAATACTTTTTCTTGTTGTTGTCTAGTTTTTCTTGTGATCATTTTCGAATAATAATATTCAAATTCGGACTTGAAGTTCCGTAGATATGGTAGGTTAGGCGAATATGCAACTTGAATGGGCCAGCTCCACCGGAGAAGCGAAGTGCCACTCTCTCACAGAATACCAGCGAGTAATGGTGACGTAATGTTACTGCGTTTCATCTGGTACGTGAGAATTTCGTATGCCCAAATCATTGTTTGATGGCGCCATCATTTTTGGAAAGCCCTTTTCTCCGGAAATGATGGCGAAGTTAATAGTTTCCTGCATAGTCTGTATCTGATGTTACAAGTGTACTAAGCAAATGCGGTGGTCGCGCAAAAATAATCTGTTACCTATCCTCTTCAAAGTCTTATCTATCTCTGTAAGAAACTGCATCAGATGAACCGTTTAGACATGAAAACGCTTGTGGTGCTTAACTCGTCGAGTACCGTCATTATAGACACAATTATAGAACAATAGGTTGCGGTCACCGGTGACCGCTTGGTGTTTGACAGTTTAATGCTCAAACCTTGCTTGTGAGAAAGAGGCCTTTGCTTAGCACTGGGCGCATACGCTATTAATGTGATGTTGGCGCAATTATCCTACAAATTAATCTGTAACCGTCTCCAGGGTTTTCTTTTACCGTTGTCCAGTTACAGTCATATCAGTGCTGAAAATCAGCGCCGCGACTCGAGCGCACTTGGGTCTCGGCATTAAAGCTGAGACCTTAGTACGAGTTTCTTTTTCGTTTAAAGTAATCGAATCGAAACGGCGTTCTGTGTTCTGATTGATTGGTTCATTAGAGCCGGCCAATCACAGCGAACGCGTACTTGTTATGATTACTATAAGCGTAAAACATACTCGTACCTCTGGCCTTTTTGCGTCGTCTTCACTGTTTAATTTTTTTGTGGGTCATTGTACTTTGTGACGGTGTGCAAATAAACCATTTTTCTTTCTTATCAATCACTGTACGAAATTGTATCAAAATTCGGATCAGCCAGCCAGCCTAAATAAATACGTTGTTATGTAGAATATAATTCTTTATTCGAGTAGAGACAATATAGGCGACTAGGCGAGTAGGCATCACATCACGGCATCACGCGTGAATGGCTGGACCGATTTCACTATACTCCGTCTGTTTAGGTAGTTAACTATTTGTAAACAAACCATAAAAAGAGTTCTTTATAGTTGACATTTCCATGACTCAAAATACTTCATAAGAAAATAAAATTGTTTCCATTTTTACGACAGTTTTCTCTATGAAATGTTATGTTTCTGTTCCTTTTCACTTATTTCTAAGTAAATATTATATATATCTGCTTGAGCATAATAATTTAATAACATTTATTAAATAATATAATATTTCATTACAATAGACACCATAAAGAGCCTAAAATGCCAGGTATCCAAAACCTTTCTTTATGAACGAAGCATTAGATAATGTTGTCAAATTAAAGAGTACAATTAAGATGTAGCGCGACAATGACAGTAGCGTGTATTACGTTTAGTCGGTTAATCAGGCGCCATTGACAGCTCTCTCGTCGTTTGCGCTCGCGTTCCTATTTTGTTGAATTTATCTTGTTTCTTTGTTTTGTTTTTGTTATTACGTTATTTAAGTTTAGGTTATTCATCGTTTGTAATTAATGTGTTCAAATATATTGAAGAAACTTGACCCAAAGACACATATCCGTACAAGAAAGAAATCCGTACATCAGATTTAGAATAGTTTCTATTTAAACATGATAATGAAATAGACCCATAGGCTAGGCTCTTGTACGATTTAGGCATTTGTGCTTGTATGTGTGTGTGTGACAAATGAACGATTTTAAAGTGAATTTAGTTTAAATTAAAACACGATAAATATTTGAAGTAATAGAAGGTTAAGTATCTCTGTGTCACGTGGTTTTGTTTGTTTACCTTTAGTTAATTACTTAAACAGATGGACTATAATTCTTTTTTTGTTGTATTTATTATTATTAGGAGAAGGTGCTTAAGACAGAAAAAATGCTGAAAATCCTCCGGGAATGGGAGAAAACTGGATTGCGCGTACGAAGTCGCGGGCAGAAGCTAATGAAAAATAATAAAATAAAACATTGCATTGCAAAACAAATGGGTACGCACAGCAGTTGGAGCTAAGTGATTACTTATCTTATCAGGACGTTGTTAAGCGGGGAACACTAGAATACAACGGCGACTTGTCTACGGACATGTTTTCTATAGATAAACGTGTTCAGTGTTTGGTTAGGTGTGAAGGCTCAGCTGGGGACATGGTGTATGAAGTTAAACCTTGTTATTTATATTGGTTGCTTTCAACCAGCCGATCTGTCTGTCTGTCTGTCTGTCTGAGAGGCTTGTCTGGCTGTCTAGTGGCTGATCTGCTGATACGATGATTTATATCGGTGCGCGGTGGGACCGAATACTTAGTTATTGATAATAGGGATGATGATGATGACAGGGTATGAAAATTAAAAATCTAATTAGTCCGTCAGTTAGGTAATGAAAAAATATCAGTCACGTAATTTTTTATTTTGCTGTATAAGAAAACAATACTTACATAAAAGGATAAAACGAATTAAAGTTTAGGAGTGAGAGGTAGCTACGACATTTTAGAGTATAAATCGTACTCAAAAGTGACGTCATGCGATATTTCAAACCAATATATCTTCGAAACTATTTGTTTCCGTAAGAAAATAAAAAAATACGTGTCTAATGTTTTTAAATAATCTACCAGACGGACATTAAAATAAAAATTAGATATCTACCCTATAGGTACTATGCTGGATAAAATATATTTGGTCCTACAAGTAAGGTTGAATTTTCATAACGAGCCATTGTAGTTGCAAGCGTTGACGCTGGGTACGAATCTCAGATTGAGAAAACTTAGATTTTTTTATTGAGAATTTCGTTTCAGTCCTTACAGTACCTTCATATTTTACGAGATGGTATAGTATTATGTTGTAGATTACTGTAACAGTTTATGGGTCTAAGTAGCACTTCTGCTTACCCTTTCCTATCAACATTTTGAGACAGACCTTCCCATGACAACAAACAACGAAGACAGGTCAAATAACAAAAGTTCTTATTTATAACAATTAGAATGTCATCATAATGGTCATCATAATACGATCATAATTATGTTATCGCAAAAATTTCAAATTCAGAATGAACTTATAACGCCATCTATGTTTTTCAATTCAAACTTACAAGGGGCCTTCAGAATGCTGCGTTCAAGGTAAGTATAATGTTTATACGTTGTAGTAGATGGCGCTCGCTGCCAGTTTATTGATTAAATACAATGTTTTCACATTATCTTTATTTTTTACCTAATCAGATAAAAATGTTTAAAAAAGATGCAAGTCAGGAAATTATGACTTTCAAAACACGTTTTATCAATGTGACTATGTGAATTGTTTACATTTTAGCCATGTAGATTATAGAATTAATACTTTTTCAAAACAGATTACAGAAATAATGTAACATTTACTATCTTAAGACACCAATGTGCGAATGAATCAAATTATTACCAAAATTAATTCGGTATAAAATAAAACTGCCATAACAATAGTATTACTACTTATTAGATTAGAACGAAACACAATTAATAGTAATTATTGTTTAGAGTTGCAAACTAATGTAATCTATATGTGTCAGACATAAGAGGTCAAATGCCATTTTCGTGGAATGTTAATTAACATGATAACTATTTTTAAACACAAAGAAACGAAGCTCTTTGATAGGGAACACACTTGTATAAAATTACACTGTTAGGTAACTTTTAATCAATATTCAATGTTGATATTAATGTCACAGAGTTTACTATCCCATATTCTAAGTATCAGATATCTATTTAGTGAGTGAATAAAATCCTGTACCGAATTGGAATTAAAAGGTCTGACCTTGGTATTTAAAAAGGCAGTAATGCCAAATATGTGGTAGACATGTTGAATGTCATAATAAACCACTCCACATGTTCATAGTAAACACAGCTGATAACATCTTATTAATGTTTTCATCCCACATATTTGTTTGTTTTACAGCATTACCATTAACAGTTAAATGTTATTACACAGCATAACACAACGCACTCATGACGAAACTGTACATCTTGTTGTGCAATAGAATCTTAGAAAATAGATTTAATGAACCCCTGTCAACCAAATAGGCTGATATTACATCAACATACACGAAACTCATTGTAATTCCAATACCCACTGGATCTGTTTGGATCGCCACCTAAACAACATTGTTGTGAGAATAAACACGAGCAGTGATCATAAATAGAATATACTAACATAGTAAACAAGCGTAACAAAGGAAATTATTCGCTACTCACATTCTGTGATTCCTCTTCCAAAACAGCCATGGCTTCAAAATCAATATTCATTTTTATGATTTAACACACATAAAACACTATAAACGTGAATAACTCAATAACATACGACGATATGTGAAATAAACAACAAGGAAATTAGATAATTTGTATCAAAAGTTGCTCTTCAAGGTATTGTTTACAAACTGGCAAGGTCATTTGACATATTTTGGTAAATAATAATGGGTGCGTTCAAATGATTTCGCAAACTCCACACTCCAACAATTAGTAATAAACTAAAATAATCGACTTATCGACTATTTCACAAACGTCATCGTGTCAAACGAAACCTACCAATGTTGCCACACGACAAATACAAATGTCAAAGTTTTTCGACCTCGCTAGTTTTTCTTTCTGTGATAAAAAATCGTAGCTTTTATGTTTTTTCATTGAACTTGTGATGTGGCCTTAAAAACTATAAACCATTTGTCTGCATATTATTTTAGAATGTGTATTGAGTGCGGTGTTACTGAGGTGATTTTGTATTTTTGTGTGCGGTTAATGCAATAGTGTCATTGTGAGATCACGATGCGTATCGGTTTCGTGTTATATTGGTGCGTATATGCTTTTCATCTGTGTAAAGCGGAAGATGTGGAGAAGACAGAAAATAGAGACAGTGGCAGAAGACAGCAGTGGGGTCCCGTGGTGCGGACTGGGTCGTTTATGAGCGATTTTGCGGTCGCAGCCTCTAACGAACAGAGTAAGTTCTCATGACCCCGAATTCGATCATTTTCTCTGACTTCTCATGACACCTGTTGACGTCCTTCATACGAGTCATGTCTGAAACAATTCGTAATTACAAGAATACATGCCAATTATTCATTTTTATACATTTGTAGGTACAAAACATAACTATTCATAATTTTTTACCACTTCGCGGCATAAATTTGTCTCGTACTGATTATGAATTTTAGAAGTTTCTGGCACATAATAATTTTTTTATTTAATAATGTAGTCTATTCTACAATCATAAATAAAAAAGACATTAGTCTGGAATTACACTACCTATACCTATGAGTAGTAGCTAATTCTTTTATGCATAGTCACAAAAGTTAAATTACTTAAATAATTGATATGCAATCATTCTTACATTACACACCTATAATGATGCCAATTTTATGTGAAATTTCTGCATATTATAAACTTTTACTACACAATTTTGTGTACCAATAAGACTAAACAGAATAGCTATTTAATTAGAATGATTGGACTAAAAATCATAAAACTTATGTTTCTTCATTGTGTAGTAAGTATTTATTTTTTTGTAAATTAATAGTTTTTAATTATTCTACACAGTAAATTGTCATTTTTTATCTGTGAATACAAAATTAATAATCTACAATTCATATCTTTTAAAATTGGAACACAATCCTGCATCACAATAATTCAGCACCCTGTAACCATAAATTAATCAATTTTAAATTCTTGTCCCTTAGTTTACATTACCAAATACATGATCATCTATCAATATAGACCCTACTTCTCAAGTATAAAGTCTAATTTGGTTTGTGAGTACCATGAAACCGCCAGATGTTTATCGTAGGCTACTAGTATGGAGTTTTATTAGTGCACACTTCATCTTACACAGTCAGTTTAAAGTTATTGAGAGTAATCAGAGCCATATGTTATCTGTTATGAGTTTTAGATGAAATTAAATATGTTGGTGTTTTAGCTATGGGCTGTATACTTATTTTCACTGAATAGTTGAAATGAAATGATGTTTATTTGTGCAAATAGGTTACAAAATCACACTTTTACACGTTAATCTTTAAATTACTAGATGAGGGCTAGGATTTAACTGTTTAGTTAAAATGAATGTCATGTAGCATACAGGATACATATATTTTTTCTTATTTTTCTAATTAACACAGGCACCAATAAGACAAGTAAGGTTTGAATTTCAAGATTTATTAATTTTTAAAATTAATTTGGGTTAATAAACTGAAAAAGAAGGTTTTTCACTTTACATACAGCTTTGTAAAATTTCTTTAAAGAATACTTTGGTATATACTCAAGTGGTTAAAACGTATTGGTTTTGATACGAGACACAATAGAAAATACATTTTGTCGCATGTGGAATTGCATTTAGACACACGAAAAGCAACCAAAACAATATTATACTTAAGTCTTAATTAAACACGGATTTTGATATCTAATAAGCTTCATTGTTTGTTCAAAATGTTCAAAAAATACCAGTGGCTAAGTTTATTCTTCTAGATTACCTACTTTATTAGGAAATCTTCTGGCAATAATTAAGTAATCTTTGAAAATCAATTGACTGTTTCTGAGAATTTATTCATCTTTTCATTGTTGTATAAAATTTTTCACTTAAACAATCTGAGATGTTTTATTGCTGAATAAAATCTAAAGCCTTTCTATTATTATTATTAAAACCTTTAATTGTTAAGTTGAAACAATATTCAAAATTTATTATTACTGTTGAAAATATAAAAAAAAAATCTTTTAACTAACTTAGGTCTTCAATTAACTCGTCGAGCACCGTCAATATAGACACAATTAAAGAACAAAAGGTTGCGGTCACCGGTGACCGCTCGGTGTTTGACAGTTTAATAGTTAAGAGCACTTATTTGAATAATTAATAGATAATTTATCATAAAACAAATTGAAATACCAATAAGCGTTGTTTGAAATAATGTTGCAAAAATAATAGCTCAGTATATTGTGAAAATACAATTTGGCACATATTCAAACATAGACATGTTACACATAGTAACAGAGATGTGAACATTTGTTTGTATTACTTTGTTCCTGATCATTGAAATCGCTGCCGTGCTGGGTGTTATGGGTTGGAATTCTAGGGAAAATATAATTGAGATCCTTTCTGTTCTTGTGACTGACTCTGACTGCACAGTTGGTGCTTCCCAGTAACTATTTACTGGGAAGTGCGAACTTCTTTGGTGTGTTGTTCGGGAACTATTTGTAATGTTGTAAATATCTGGGCTACATGTGTACATAACATAGAACAACTTAAATCACTATAGATCATACCACTACAATGTGTTTGTAACTGGACTTTAACTTTAAACACGTAACTGATGAAAAGTCAGCTACATTTGACCTTGTGGTATTAAAGCTGTGATGTTTATGTCAAACAAATTATATTAATGGAATCGTTTCTATGTGTTACCCCAAACCCATAAACTATTGACTGTGATTGAGTTCACCTGTTTCATGTTTGTGCGATGTGATCCATAGATGGTACGTGTAAACAATAATGAGGAATGTACACTAAAACTTTAAATAGAATATCAATTATCCTCGCCTGTCCAGTTTGATGTTAAAATTAGCACTCATGTGAGAATTTTATGTTAGAAATATTATACTCACTATCAAAGGGAAAATTTTAACATTGTCTGTGGCATTAGGTAGAAAATAGGAACCAGGTATTATGATAAATTATTTATTATTAATATAATTATTATTTTGATTCAAACATTTTACATCCATGAAAATAAAATGTTGTATTAATTAATAATGCTTGTGTAATGCCTGTGTATTACATGGGTATTATTTTGATTTTTCCTAATAAATATTCAAAACAAAATAACAATTTTCTACTTGTTTTTACCAAACTGTGCTAATTAGGCAGTTACATTACATCACAAGTTGACCTTATACTTCAAATCCAGTCGAGAGTTGATATTTGGCCTGTTTTGAATAAATCATGTTTTGTAAATCCTAATCATTGTCTGACCTATAACTATGCATCAAGCATATACCTAATTATCTTTAAAAATTCGCAAAATAATAAGATAACAATTATTAAAATAATCTTTCGAATGACAGATAAAAATAATTCTGTCTGTCTGACTAACGCAGTGAAATGTTAGTTTTGATTCAGTTCACTATTTTCATTGTTTCGTCAGCCTTCTTTGTGAAGTCGTTCAACTGTCAAATGTGGCAGGGCGAGACCACACACTGTGAAATAGAAAGCAGTTTTAAAGCTTTGGCCACACTAGACTACATAGCAAACAAGTTAGTGTAAAGTGTGTATTGTTTTACCTTTTTTGTATGATACTTATATCGTCATATCTTGGAAGATGTCCACTACGAAAAATGGCGTCTCGTTTGAGGCGAGGGTCATGCCATAGGCCCCACGCTTGGCGTCTGCCAAGCCGTCTGGCTTCAGGATCGTAAATAGGGCATCGAAGAAGCTGATCTTCTCCTTCGTCATGTTCGTCCGCTTTTAAACCTCAGACGCAAAAAGACTGGTGTTACTAGTTTAATGCCAATATTTGTCTGTGCCACCTAAATTCGCGAACGGATGGCCTGATTTCGATGCAGTTTTTTCACATGAAATCAAACCTTATTATTGTTTTTATTTTTCATTCCATGGCTAACATAACTCGACTTTTTAGTAGTTCGCGATGAAGTACCTAACTATGAAAATAGGTGAAATGATGCCGCCCGCTGATTAGTCAACCAGCAATGTAGCTTACGCTTTATGATCAATGCAATTTCACTATCTAGTTTTCAGTGGCGTGCACAGGTTTTCGAGACAGGGTAGGCAACTAAATATCGTATGATTAAACCCCTCTCCCCCCGCCGGTCATACAATCATGCTCACACAAGATAGGTACATGTACATAATACATTTCGAAAAGTGCGTTCAAGAATATTGTGGTGTATTCTTTCGCCAAATTACATACACTGACAACTCGCGTATTTTTTGTGAAGTACTTCATCAGCTATTGAATAAGCCAACAAAACTTACAAATAATGAAGGATCTATTATTTATTTTAATAATAAGGCATAAATTTGATGAACCAAATTTCATTATGGAATTGTTTAGTTTAATCAATCTGTTCAAAATCATAATATATTACGAATTTAAGAGCGTAGGTACCTACATTATGTCAACAAACAAAACAATAACAAGCGCGGCCGGCTGTGGCCGAGCCGGCCGAGTCTATGCGGTACATATGTTATTACTACATTACATAATTATTAATAATAAATTAATATGTGAATCAGTACAACCCGAAGTCTAAGTTGATATTTTTAAGAATTATCAAACAATAAACAAGAAAGTCAAATAAAAGATCCATTATAGTACATATTTACATTACCTACCTTTTACTTGGGTCAATTCTCGTAACTCGAGTACACCTCTGCCTATGGTCTTTACCTGAATCTAGTCCGATAAAGGACATTTTCTTGCGAAATCTTACTGTTTTTACTTTCAACAAACACATAAAATTACCTATTATTCACACACACTTCACAATCGAATAATATAGGTACTTGTACTAGAAACTGATAAACAAATACACTATTTGAAAAACCTACACATATATTTAACTACTACTACACATTTATGCAACTTTATGTTTAAAACTAATTCCTAATAATTTAAACGAAAACATAAACAAAGCGATCGCACATCACATGAAAACAATATGGCCGAAAACATTGGAAACGAATTGAAGTCATTACCAATAGTCAATTGAGTGTTTATTATAAAAAAATGTAGCTTAAAAATTAAGGTAATGCAGCGTTTAATTTAAAAAAAACAAAGGTTAATTTAGTAAGTCAAATGAAATTGCATCATCGTCTTAAACCAATATTTCATACTAAAAAACATTCATTCATATAATTTGAAACGTTGTAAATGGCGCCATCTTGAAGTTTCAATAACTTCCTTTTAACTTTTATAATAATAAAGTCAACTCCTCGTT